TTTTTTTTTTAAAGTAAAGAGTGACATTTAGAAATGAAAGAATGATCTGGACACCATGGGTGTTATTTAGGACTGGATTGTCATTGCTCCTACACTAAGGAAAATTATCTATTCTTCTGCTCAAAAAGATGCATTTTATTGTCTATGCCTACAAAAAAATGAGCTTGCACAGAGATCTCAAATTCACTACAAAATCACAGAGTTTATTTAAACATTCCTCTTTCTTTATCTCTTTTTTCTAACAGAATCTTGGTTCTAATTATCATTAATGCGTCTTCTTATTTTCAGTCTTTCTGTTCAAAGCCATTCTCATTGTGTCAATCATCCCCTACATGTCCTCACACACAGACCCACGCACCCTGGTACAGCTCTGATGCCCTTTCTGTGGCCATACTATCTCCTCACTCTGGTTGGACACTGAGTCCTGCACTGGGGGCCTCAACCCATGTGAATGCCTTGCTCATCCCATCCTCTGGGCCCCCCACACCAGGTCAGCAGCATCACTTCTCCTATGTGTGGATACCCTTCTTCTCCACTGCAGCTCCTACAACCCCAAGCAGGGCTTCCACTTTCATTTCCTGACTGCTCCTCCCCTCACCCTGCTTGGGTCCCACTGTTCTACACTCAGACATTGAGAGCTGCCTTCTCTTAGGAACTGAAAGAGACTTGGTGATAGCAGAATATGCGGGTTGAGGGATTACAGTAGATTGAAGGGGGCACATGAACACTGGCTCTGCAGAACACTCCACTTCTTAAGGGATTGTCTTGGGTTGGGGGGATGGAAAGCAGGAGCAATGATCTGAGGCACTTGGGCGACTTGTAGAGTGAATATGTGTAGCAGCAACAGAAACAGGAAGACCGCTCCTCAGGTGGGGAGGAAGACAGTCTCGCGCCTGGCTGGCCTGATGGAAGGAGTAGGGCAGAGAATCCAGAGATGGGAGAATACAGACTCCATAAGTGAACCCATCTCCAAGAGAAAGAAATGAAGGGAAAGCAACTCCCTGACATGTCTCTGCTGCTCCTATCATCAATCTATAGCAAAGAAAAAAATAAGCATTTTTCCTCTTAAAAAGCCTGAGGCACTTTTCCTCAGCAGCCAGCACTTTCTCTGATTTTGGAGGAAATTAGAGGATTTCACTGGAAACCCATATGAGTTTCCTCTAATTTCCCACAATGCTGTGCCGTTTTGCAACCTTTCTCACTCTCTCATTCTTTCTTTTCCGTCTCAGGAAAGTAAATATGCTTTTTACTTCTTACTATTCTAATCTCTGTGTCAGGATTCCTTCTTTTCCATTCTGTGAGCACCTAGTGAGATTGCAGGCTCCATATTATGTCCTGTAGTCCCCAGAGAAAAAAATGTTCTCAGCAGATGAATCAGTGCTATTCTGGTCTGCCCTGAGACACTTGGGGACACTGGGCCTCTGGTGAGTCACTGAGATGAGCCAGCCCTGCAGCTGTGCCCAGCCTGCCCACCTCCTGCTGATTTGCATGTTCCCAGGGACTTATTAATGGGCTGGTCGCACCTCACCCTGTGCAGGAGTCAGTTCCTGTCAGGACACAGCATGGACATGAGGGCCTCCACTCAGCTCCTGGGGCTGCTGCTGCTCTGGCTCCCAGGTAAAGAGGGAGAACCCCAGGGATTCACTCAGACAGTGTGGTCAGTCCTGCCCGGCTCCTCAGGGAAATCATAACATGGGTAATTGTGTGGATATTTGTTTTCATGTTTCCAATCTCAGGTTCCAGGTGTGCCATCCAGATGACCCAGTCTCCATCCTCCCTGTCTGCATCTGTAGGAGACACAGTCACCATCACCTGCCAGGCCAGTCAGGGCATTAGCAATGAACTAAACTGGTATCAGCAGAAACCAGGGAAATCTCCTAAGCCCCTGATCTATTATGCATCCAGATTGGAAACTGGGGTCCCATCGAGGTTCAGAGGCAGTGGGTCTGGGACAGATTTCACTCTCACCATCAGTGGTTTAGAGACTGACGATGTTGGAAATTATTACTGTCAACAAGATTACAGTTACCCTCCCACAGTGTTACAAGGCTGAACATAAACCCCCCAGGGAAGCAGGTGTGTGAGGCTGGGCTGCCCCAGCTGCTCCTCCTGGTGCCTTCATCTGCTGAGAGGATTTCTTAGAGGCAACCATGCTCTGAAGGTCCCTGCACAGTTTTGGTAGGGGGATCTGGGAGGCTCCATTGTACCCTATGTCTCTTTCCTCCTCCTTGTCCTAGCAGCACAGACTGGGATGCCTCTCCTGATTTCATTTTGGATAGAGGTGATTATACCTGGAGTCTCTGCCTGGTTTCAATGGACATCAAACTGCAACGAGAAGCCACTCTTAGGTATTCCTAGTAGGATATCAGTTATGTATAAGGAATAAGAGGCGAAGTCTAGTTTTTAAATGAATAGCCTGGGGTTGAATATCATAGTCAAAGAACAGATACTAGAAAGTGGAGATTTCCTGGTCTTCCCTAGAAGCCAGGTTGCATCTGCTCCTCCGTCCCGTCTGGGAAGCCCAGGGCTGGGGTTGCTGAAGTTCTCAGCTGTCTGCAGCACCTGGCCAGGTGAGTCAACTGTTCCCACGTGTGTTCTTATGTCTGGCTGCAGGTGCTGATGGATAGTATCGAATTCTCCTCTTCTGAGTTCCCAGTCTCAAGGAGAGACCCCTCATTGAACAACTCAATAGGAAACCAGCAATGGAAAATAATTTCTGCCTAATGTGCTTCCAGAGATGATGGTGATGGTAGAGAAATGGTAGCTGTGGCCCAATGTGGTCAGTATTTCTCAACTCTCAGAATTTTGTCAGTTAGTTGATGCACCCAAAATATACTTGGGTGTGCTTCCAAATATTGTCAGGAGGTCTGAGATCTTTAGTGAGAAGATTTCATTAAGACATATGTGGTAAATACAAAACTGGGGAATGCATTATATCTATCTCTGTATATCAGTCATCTGACAAATAAAAAAAACTTTCCTGACTATAAATAAACACATGAACACAC